CAGAAATCCATAAGCCAGATGGATGAATTGCTCAGGAAGTATCCGATATCCGAACCGGAAAATGAGTCCATATCCGATATTGTCGACTCGTTAAGACTCAAATTTAGGGCGATTTGTGCCACGCTGAATGTGAAATTGGAGTATAATGGGTACCCTAAAGCCTCTGGTGCTGAAAACATGGAATTTTGAAATTTTGGTATGTGAATTCTGTAAATATAGTTAGAACTTTTGCTTGAGTGATTATTGTTCTTGTTTTATTATGGGGTTTTTCATATTCTGGCTGGTATAATGTGGTTTTATTGAAATTCTACTTTTTCTGGAATCAGATTAATTGTTTTGTGCTAAATTAGTGGACCGTGAAGCTGATTTATTGATTGATTGATTTATTTCGTTACGAGTCCGTTATTATAGCAACAAATGGGTTCGATGATATGTACTGTATCAATCTTATATGCGTGTGGTGTGGAGGCTTTAAATTTATATTCTTGCATATCATTGAACGTAAAATCAATCTTATAATAACTTAGATTCTGTTGATCCATGAATTGACTATGATTTTTAAGTAGTACATATAGGAATACAAATAGAAAAGGGCGAATGATTTGCGGCACACAAGGAGATATATTGTGAACCTCTTGGCTATGTTACAAGTGAAGACGATGCATCTTGATCGAAAAGCAATCGAAAATCTCCCCTTTGTTTATTTTTATTGTAATAATATGAACTGCAGTTTCTACTTTGTCTGTTTATATTTTCTTCAGACTTTCTCCTCTTATTAATGGTACTGTTATTGTTGATACCCTTATAATGTTTATTTCTCCATGATAGGCCTACTTGAGATTCCTCTCTCTCTACTTCCTTTTTTACTTGTTTACACTGTTTTGAACTGTAGTTCCATTGACCGTGAGAGGCTGAGTTACCAGATTGGGCAATCTGTTACCTGCCGATTGGGCCATTGTCATGTCAATTTTGTATATTCTACTCAAACCAAAGTCCTTCCAGTTTCTGATGCCATATTTGCTTTGTAAGAACACCATGTCTGTTACCAAATTCAATGCGTTGGTTTCCATGTTGTTTATGAGTGGTAGTTGCACTAAAAAGAAAAGGTTCGAGCATCAGAATCTGACTTGCTAAGCCTTGCTGAGAGGGAAATCCGAAACTTTAAATGAAGAGAGATTTCAAAGAAGACTTCCTGAACTGGTTCAGAAATTCTTCGCGAGTTAAAAGAGCGAAAGGGCCCTCTGTTTTTTAGCTGAAAAACCGAACTTATGGGAAGAAAGTTGCCTTTGCTCATCTTCTGCTGACTGCTGTTGCAAGAAGCTCAATATCTGCACATGGGATTCATCTGTATTAATTGCTGTATTAATTTATCTGAGATCAAAAGGTCATCTTATACCTATATCCGTTCTTTCCAACCTCACACATCAGAATGCCCTGTTCTTATAGAGAGAAACGTGCTTTCGCATCTTCGTGACCCTGAATGAAATGGCTGGAGAGAGGAATGGTGATTTAGTTTTGATTTCTTCTTTTCGATTTTCTAATATTGTCCAATCCAATAGTGCCAATAAAGTTTATTTGAAGCTTGATTCATCATGTAGGCAATCTCGGGGGAGACATGAGAGTTTAGAGGTAGCAAAATAGGTAGATCAATTCAGTCATTTTAGTGCCATCCCGCTGTTTCTCCTTGATTTCTGGTTTTTCGGCTTGATCACCAAAATCGTATTCCCCAAGAACTTGCTTTGCCAAATTCTAATTGGTAAGGTTTTTACTCTCTATTGTGGTGCAACTTGTACAAAGGATATTTTTATGATTTTAGAGTGCTTATACGTCTAAGAATTTGGTATATTATTCACTTCACCAGCTTGCCCACAAGCTGCTCGACGCATGTCTTACGAATGCAACCTCTCTCTCTCTCTCTCTATATATATATATATATTTATTTATTTATTTATTATTATTATTTTTTTTTTTGCCCTTTTGAATCTTTTTTTAGGTAGCGGAAGACTGAAGAGATAAAGAAATGAATGTTTTATTGGGCAACCCAAAATTTCAATTTGCCTCTAGGCTCTAGAGTCTAGCCCAAGAGCCACTTGTTTAGTATATTTTTTGGGCATTATACAAAATATATTATAATCACTTCCCAAAATGCTCAAAGTTTAATTTAATTTTTTTATTTTTTTTAAGTAAAATAAGCAAGTTTTAAATTTTTTTTACTGATCAAAATGAGAAATAAGAAAGTTACTTATTTAGACACTTAGAGTGTGTTTGATTGACATGAAAAATATCACCTAGAAAAGAAAATATTTTTCATTTTTTGTGGAAAATAAAAATCACTTCTGCCCAAGAAAAATATTTTCCTTAAAAATAAGGAAAATTAGGCATATTTTTAAAAGTTGGAAAATGTTTTCCATGGAAAAAAAATAGCAATCAAACACTCAAAGTAGGAATTTAGATGGAAAATTGATATTTTTCATGGAAAATAAATGTAATCAAACACACCCTTAAGGTCTATTTGATTGCAAATATGTAATTTTGGTGGAAAGAAAACAAATTTCAGGAAATTAAATTGTCTTAAAATTGTTTTACTAAGGATTATCAATTATTGTATTTGATTGGTATAATTTTTCACGTGGAAAATTCTGAAATAAAAGTATTTTTTGGTATTCGTTTGATTTTGTTTTAAATTAAAAATGTCAATTAAAGGGATAGAATTACTGGTATTGGGGAGAGAATTTGTTTCCATTAAAAAAAAAAAAAAAACAAATAAAATCATCTATCTTTTGGTGTTCGTTTTTACATAGAAATTATCGATTAAATGGATTTTTTTATTATTTTATTTATTATTATTATTTTTTATTATTATTATTATTTTTACAATTAGGGATAGAATTTGTTTCCATTATCAAAAAAATAAAATTAAAAAAATCGTAAACGGTAGCCTAGAAAACCTTGGCTTTTCTTGAAAGCTAAGAAAATACCAATTTTCAAGAAAACCAAATGCCATGGAAAAAATATACTATCAAATAGTCAAAAAGTGAAAGTTGGAATTTGAATTCCATTTTCCATGGAAAATATAGTGCCATCAAATCTGGCCTAAGATAATAGTACTGTCTCGGTTCCATTTATATTTGTTAGTTTTCCTTATTTTCTTGTCTCAATTATATAGTTCTGTTTCTTTATTGAAAATGTTTTTGCTTTACTTGTTTACTTATATATCTTTATTTAATTTGCCTAGTTATTGATCAAAATGAGAAATAAAAAAAGTTGTTTAGACAGTAAGATAATAGTTACTGTTGGGAATTTACTTGATCATACACAATGAAAAATAAAATAAATTTCAATTTTCACCAAGGATTTGCTTTATGTTTAGATAAAAATCGTGATATGAATTATATCTTTGTTGAATTTTACAAACTACTTTACTTTTCTTAAACTTGAACAATCACGATTTGCAATTTACACCTGTCCAATTATCCTACCTTCAATGAAAATTCACATAGGAAACAAAAGTGAGAGAGAAATATTATGTTCTTTATCTATTTTTTCAAACCTTAGCAACCTATTAATATAAGTCAAAGTGGATTTGGTCCAACTCTTAGTTTAATTCGGTCTATTATTTAATTAATTCAATTAATTAAATTTAGTCCATGAATTAATTAATAATTAATCCAATTAATTGATTCGTGTCTATTAATAAGCAATCGAATTATTAATTATGAGTATACATTGACGCTCAGATAGTTATAAATGTGGAATCTCCTTGGCAGGTTTCCAGTATTTTGTTCTACAACAAAATATTTACGTGTTCATTTAAGTGTACATTTTAGCTTGTGAGATTAACTATTTATTTCACAAATAAGAAATATTAAACGTGATGGTCCATCTGTAATAACAATATCTGTATCTCGTTATTGCTTACGATCACGGATGATTTAAGATTCAGTCATATATAATTTGTATCTCACAATTAGAAGTCCTTGTGATTAACAAATTATTGAGATTTGAATCTACGAACTTTATTATTTAATTTAATTGAATATTAATTAAATAAGAGATTTACCATCAAATTACATTAATTATATATTAAAAATATTTATGTCAAAAGTTGATTTGAGTTAGAGCACAACACTAACTCCTACTTGCACTAGATCTAATCAATTATATATCTAATATTATAAAAATTCATATGATGATCATGTTTATACCGCAACAATTCTATGTCACTGAATCTGCAATATTATCAATTGTGGAATATTGTTCTTTCTTTACATTAATTCTTTATATTATTTCTCTAATGAGATGATACCGTAATAACATATGTTTAGATTATTGATGAAACTTTAATTCCTTCGCTTGCGCGATAGCTCCATTGTTATCACAATGCAGAAGTTTGTGATCAACAATGTTAGGAACTACTCCAAATTTATTAACAAACTTTTTTTTTTATCAAAACCACAACCTTTGTTGCTTCTAAAGCAACAGTGTATAAGGCATCCACTATTGAATCAAAGATCGTTTCCTGTTTGGAATATTTCCAACCAATATCATAATTGAGATTTGTTATCATTCTAGTCTAGTGAATCCATGAACTTTCCGTTCATTTTTTTCATATAAAATCTTTTCAAGATTTTATCTATATAGATAAGTAATCTTTTATATCTATCTATATAGATCAAGTTGCTTTTTCTATATCTTTTATGGGGCTACTATTTGACAATCATAGTTTCAATGATTGAAACACAAGGATGTCGTTTTCTAAGTGTTTGACATCCATTTTTATGGAAAAATGAATTTTAGAATAGTAGATTGATGGAGAATATGTGGATGAAAAATAAGGAAATTTTTTTGATTTACGTGTAATATTATTTTAATGAAGAATGTGTTGTTAAAAAGAATAGAGAGAAATATTGATAAAAATGAGAGTCAAACGGAGTCTTAATATGTTAGAATATTAGGAATACGATAACGCTTCCACTATCTTCTGGTAAACACGCGGATCATCTTCATTTTTTTATCAAATCAAACATTTGATTTTTCTTATCAAATTGAAGACTCTAGCTCCAAGATGTTTGCTTCAATCTATATATAAATTGATCAAACTTACATAGCTTGTAAGCATATTTGGATTCAAGACTTTCAATTTGTATTATATACACTTTCTTTTGTAAGTTCCTGTTAAGGAATGTAGTTCTGATATCCATTTGTTATAACTTATAGTGATGGTATGTAGTTATTGCAAACGAAATTCGAATGGACATTCGCATGGCTAGAAGATTTCATCAAAGCCAACTCATTGTCTTTGTTTATAACCTTTTTGCTACGAGTCTTGTTTTGTATGTATGGATGTTTCCATCCATGTCAACTATTCATTTTAGCTCATTTACAACTTATAAGTTTTACCCCATCAAGCTGGTCAATCAAAGTCTAAACTTATAAAAAAAAGCCCTTTCTCCCCTTCATAATAATAAGGTAAGCATCCAGCTCTCGATCCAGAGCTACTGCTTCAACAATCAACTGAGCTCAAAGATTTTTAGAATTCATAAAAGGACACATTTTACGAGAATCAACACATTGGAAGTCTTGCGGGGAAGTGACAAATCTACTGCTTATTGCGAGCTTGAAATCCCACTCCCGAAAGAGATTGTTAAGTTTGTTATGGTTCAAAGTCTAAACTTTGTTCACATGTATCAAATTCATTTCGAATTCCATGGCCTCTTGACAGCTCTTTGAGACAACACTTGACTTTATTTTTGTGCAATTAGTAGGTTCATCATCCTCGATTAATAATGCCTAATTAGCAATCATGAATTTACATTTTAAAGGTCGAATGATCCTATTAGATTTACACGAAGTTGACATTCCTTAGGAGTCTACTTCCTGATCAAGAGTATGTCCTTCAGCAGGTGTGGACATCAAACTCAGATTGATCTATTTGGTCATTTATATTTGTGGACTCTTGAATCCTTCAAGTTCTATTTTACTCTCACCGTCCTCTCATAGAATAAACATTTTTTCTACGAAGATTATATTTTGTAAGATGAAGACTTTCTTTTCAATATATTTATAAAATTGATATCCAAATATCTGTTTTGGGTATTCTACAAATATGTATTCATCAGATATAGACTCAAACTTAACCAATTCAGTGAGCTTCAAATAAACACCACTATCCCAAACTTTCATATGAGATAATTGGGACTACTGCCTTTCCATAGTCCGTATGGAGTTTTTGTTAACTGACTTAGATGTGATATGATTTAGTGTGTAGTATGCTGCAATCAGTGCATATCCCTAAAATGATTTTGGAATGTTTGCTTAGCTTGTCATTAATCGCACTGTATCTAATAGTTTATGATTCTTTCTTTTAGACACACCATTATGCTGCAGTGTATATACAGAAGTCCATTGCGATAGAATCTCAATCTCTTTTAGATAAACTAAAATTTCATTTTTAAGATATCTCCATCACAATAGGACTTTAGCGTGAGAATATCTTTACCTAATTATTTCTTTACTTCTAACTTGAATCCTTTAAACCTTTCAAGAACTTCATTCTCAAATTTCATGACAATTTTCGAAATAGTCAATAATAAATCTGATGAAATAAGAGGAACATCGTAGCATTAATTGACATGGGTCCACATATATCACTATGTATTAGACGCAATAATTCATATTTGTCAAATGTTTCAAAATTAGTTGGCCCCAAATATGCATCTCTATGTAATTTTATAATTGCATTCTCATTTATGCGACCAAGTCTGTAATGTCAAATATATGTGTTGTTCTGATTATCATTTTTATAGCTTTCAACTTCTATATTTATTATAAGATACTCAAATTTAGAATATAAATGT